CGTAGGTTCACCTGTAGGTACTCTCGTAGGTTCACCTGTAGGTACTCTCGTAGGTTCACCTGTAGGTACTCTCGTAGGTTCACCTGCAGGTACTCTCGTAGGTTCACCCGTAGGTTCACCTGTAGGTTCACCTGTAGGTTCACCCGTAGGTTCACCCGTAGGTTCACCTGTAGGTTCACCCGTAGGTTCACCCGTAGGTTCACCCGTAGGTTCACCCGTAGGTTCACCCGTAGGTTCACCCGTAGGTTCACCCGTAGGTACACCCGTAGGTTCACCCGTAGGTTCACCCGTAGGTTCACCCGTAGGTTCACCCGTAGGTTCACCCGTAGGTTCACCCGTAGGTTCACCCGTAGGTTCACCCGTAGGTTCACCCGTAGGTTCACCCGTAGGTTCCAATAAGAGTTCGGGTGTGAGATGCCCCCGTATACGGTACGGTGCCGGAGTTCTCATAATAAAAATATTTACTTACGTAATAGTTGTTTAACGTCCGCGTGGTTATGGATGTATTCTGAAGGCGTCCCTTAAGATGTCCAACGATTGGTCCGCGTCGAGAAAGTAAACACACACAAAGTAATATGCAAATACTTTTATTAATTCACTCTAAAGCAATACACGTAGTATGACTCCAAGTGGAGAACTGATTTTGGTGTTTGAGAGACACCTCTATTTATACTAAAGTGTACGTGAGGAAAAAGTGTGTCACATTGAGTCAGGTTTTAATCACTATTAAAACTAGGAGTTTACTATTCACTTTTTTATATAACATTTCAGTGCATTATTTTAACACTGCAATATTGAATAAAAACAAAATAAAACTCTGTTAAAAACAAGGTGTTTACCTTTAGTTTTTCGGTATAACATTTTAGTGCTTTTATAAATTTTTAACAAACAAAAAAGGATAATTTTTGCAATAATTTTTCAGAGAAAAATAAAACAAAAATTCATTACAATATAATTAGTAAATACAACCTTGGCTTCAATATAAATAATATAAAATTATTTAAATGCAACAAAAATTATATTGTTTATACAATAGTTTTTATTAATTAGAAATTTTTGTTTATTCTAACTTATTAAATGTGTTATTTTATTCAAGGATAAACTTTCAATAAAAAACAATTTTAATAGTTTAATAGTTGTTTGCCTCACTATTGTTTGACCCACTATTGCATTTCCGCCCCTTCAAGTCTTCATCTGTCCTCAGATGTGTAACATTAGTAACACTAATAACTCATGTACACATTAGTTTACAAATTTTGTATTTATAAAATATTACAATAAAATCCCTTCACCTTAAAAAAATGCATGTATTTTATAAACTTAAATCTATAAAATATCAATAAACCATGCATTATAATAAATTTTAATCGTTGTCCGTTTTCTGATCATTATTGTGCTTTGTTTCTTTTTCCGTGATATCTATTTCATCGTCCACTTGATTTTCATTGCCATTTTGTGTAGCATCGGGTTCAGCATTGTTACTATCTACTTCATCAATGCCGTCTAATTCAGAAATTGTTTCGTTGTTCCATTTTCTTAATCGTCTTATATGTACTTTCTTAAACTTTTTCCTTGAATTCTTTACACTTTGGACAGTGTATACAAGTGGACTGTGCCGCGTAATTATCTTATAAGGGCCAATATATTGGCTTAGTAATTTCGTACTAAGACCAATCTCTCTGTGAGGAATATGTAGCGACACTAAGTCACCTTCCTCAAATACTACATCGCGATGTTTAGCATCATAACGGAATTTGCCATCATTATGAGCTTCTATAATTCTCATTTGAACCAATTTTCTTGTTTCCTCCATATATTTTAAATAATTAGTACCAAACGCAAAGTCACGCGGTAGATCATAAGATACGTCAACTGGTACTTTTGGTTCTCTTCCATATAGTAAGAAAAAGGGAGAAACTTTGGTAGCTTTATGATTACTAATGTTATACGAGAATGTTACTTTGGGTAAGTACTGGTCCCAATTGGTAACATTATCTTGAACATAATGTTTAAGCATCATAGCTACAGTTCCACATGCTTTTTCTGCAGTTCCATTCGATTGCGGACTATATGGTGTGGTTTTAACGTGTTTGGAGGCTGTCAACTTAAAGACTTCTTCCATAAAGTCTGATATAAAGTATCTGGCATTATCTGTTAACACTTTTTTAATGGCGCCGTGTCTTGCCAGAACTTCATCAACAAACCATTTCGCTATAGTAATGGCTTGTACATTTCTCACTGCCTTTGTTTCCATCCATTTGGTAAATAAGTCAATCATTATTATAATGTATTTACTGCCTTTTGACGTCGGAGAGAGAGGCCCAAGTATGTCTACTCCGACAATTTCAAATGGTTCATTGGCGTCGATAGGCTGCAGCATTCCTTTCTCGACTTTATTGTCGACTTTATTCAACTGGCATGACTCACAGTTGTTTACGTATTTTCTGATCGACTTCTCACAGTGAGGCCAGAAAAATCTCTCTTTGATTTTTCCATATGTCTTTTCAAATCCTAAGTGAGCTCCGGATAACTCATTGTCATGTAAATCTTGTAGGATTTGTCGTCTTAATTCTTTAGGAAGGCATAACTGTAGCCTCCTATTTCTATTATCATCATAACTTATTCTATATAGAATTTCATTTTCAATAATGAATTTGCTTAAGCTTTTACTTTGTTGATTATTTTTTATTTTCTCTTTCAATTCTTTACACCATTTATCACTGTCTTGTTTCTCTAGTATGTTTATTGTGGGATTTATTAGTACTGGTATTACTGGTTCCCAATCGTCTGGTTTCTCGTATGGATATCTTGATAATGCGTCAGCATTGTTATGTAATTTTCCCTTCTTATA